ATAATTCAATCTAATGTATCTAATAATAAACAAAGTATCAAAAGAAATGCGACTCGTCGACAAGTTGGGTAAGCACTAAACAAATATTACTAAATTCTTGTATGAATACCAATATATTATTTAGTATTGCCAATGTAAACAAAAGTCAATATTTATAAATAAATCGATATTATAAGATACATCTATATGTGGTAAGAACGTGGTATAGTAACCACTGGCGCCGGGTCCTATACCCACCCCAGAAGCAGAGATATAAGATTTCCAGAGTTACTGAAAGTTTTCAATAACCAGTTTCTAATTGAATAAATAGAAAATGTATATTTTAGGGACTCTTGAAACTCAATTTCAGGCTATTGCGCTGTTGTATTTATTGCATAACCTATTTATAGTTACTGCAAGACTATTTCACTACCTTAAACAATACTTTGCAAAATATATATATTATAGCCAAGAAAGGCTGATATACACGTTAATAAAATATAAATCTCTTTCACCCCTAAATTAAATTCGAGCATTAAAATTTCAGCGTCCACAATTATAAATTATGTTGCTTATTGTTTATTATAATATAAAGCAAACGTCGAGAATAACTATTAGTGATACCAAAGATAATGGCAAATATCACAATTCTAGAGTATTACATTGCTCTTATTTTGAAATACTGCCAGAAAATACGAAGTGTCTCTTCAGCCCGCCAAAATCAATAAATATATTTAAATAAACAAGTTTAATCTTATGACATATACAATCACATATTTTAGTTTTACTCGTGACATAGATTACAGAACTGTGTTCGCTGTTTGAGTAAGTTCAATAATGGTTATAGGCGCAAGGGAATATTAATAAAACAAATGCATATGTTTATTTATAATAAAACGCATCGATCGCTATAATAATAATAACAAAATCATACACATTAAATAAATAAAGCATAGAACTATATTACCGCAAAATCCTGTGTAATTTAATATTTATTTGTACTGGGTCAATAATATAAAAACAGATAATAATTAAATATACAATAAACATTAAATAAAAAATCCAATTACATAATTGCGTCTGGTCCTTGAGCATCTGTAACTTGACTTAAATATAATTGTGCATCATTGTAAGCTTTCTTTACAGCTTTCTTATCGGCAGGTTTTCGACTTTCTGTCAATTTCTGTTGATCTAGTGATTTGCTGATTCCTAGAAGTTCCAATTTGCTAGCAGGCAGCCACTGCCATGTACGCTTTGCATCAAAAAATAAAACGAGAAATACTGATTCTCCATCTGCAGGAATTTTTTTAGCGCGTAATGTTAGGACATCAGATGGCGGGTATGGTAACGGAAACACCCTTGTGAACGAAGCCGCGAGGAGTCTCCGGATCCATAATTAATGCTGGGTACCAAGGATAACCTCGACATTTAGCCCAAACTAATTGCAATGGCTTCAGAGAAGGCTTACTCGAACCTGCAATTGGCTCATTCTCGACACCTTCATCATTGCTACTAAACCACTCTGAACTATGAGAACAATTACCACAGGAACTGTGAAATACAAAAATTATCATATATTTTACTTTGAAAAAAAAAGTCTTTATGTGGTTACTTCATACATAATCACTTTGTGCTTATATAAGGCTTTGTCGTTATGATAATTATAGTTTAAAACATACTTAGGTAATATAAAAAGGGAAGCTAAAGTCAGAAAATTACCAGACTATACAACTTAGCCTGGTCACTTACTATTATTTTGTTTTCTTTTAATGAAAGTGAGGGTTTGTATCATCATGGTAAATGCCTAGCTTCTCGGATTTAAATCTGTGTTTCGGATAAACAGCTCACGTAGTTAAGAAGTATCAATAGCTCAGAAAATTTCAAGCTCTGAATGCTGTTCAAAAATAATGAAAAGAAAAGAAAAGAAAAATTCACATAATAATCTATAGTCGAGGAGAAAGTTTCACAGCATGTGTCATTTTAAAAAAATACAAAATACATTGCATTGAAAAATATCTTGATATCTATTGCATTATCGAAATCATAGTGGGAGGCACCAAAAGTCAATAGTATTATTATATATCAGACAATTATCAACTAAGCACAGAATTTTCTTATTGACTTAAAAAAAACTTTCCAATCTCTTACAGCGCGTACAGGTTTGATTAAAATGACACTATTTAAACTGCCTCTTTTATTTGCTCTTTAAAATACTTGAAATGTTAAAATCATTAGAAGGTTTTCTTTAGATAAAACAGCCTAGTCTCATTGGTGTTAATAAAATGTTCACATTTAAGTTAAGCGCATAATTTCTGTTCCTCTGTTGAACTAACTGATTCATTAACAATTTTATCTGTGCCTATATTGTGTTTTATTGTAAAAACGATTTATCCAACTTATTGAACCGAAATCATCAAAATTCAACACTATAAAAAATTAGCTTTTTCAAATCTCTGAAATAGAGTTTAAGAAACATTGACTCACTCATCACTCTCATGACTGCAGCTACTGCAGGTACTTTCTGATAAGGACTCCTGTGATTCACTATCAGATACTTCAGCTTCTTTTCTAGCACGATACACAAGAAAGCTTTGTGATACAGCATTGCTATTGGTTGAAGATTCCAAGGTACTATTTGCACTTTTTGACAAATCTTTCCTGCTAAATATAAATCTTACCATTTTATATTGTATTATATGCGCTTTTATATTATTTATATTTTTCTTAATATATTATTGTAAGTTTACTCTATTAATATTTAATAAGTAAAATTCATTCATTCCATAGTTAGAGGGTAACTAAACTACATAAATATCAAAATGTGTGGAGAAATAACACTTTTTTAAGAACTTATCATGGCTGTGTAACAATCACGCAAAAAGTTTGCTGAAGTATTTACTGAAAATTTGATATTCTTTAAAAGAGTTGATAAATATATATATATATATATATATATATATACACATACATACATACATACATACAGTAGAACCTCGTTTTCCCAGACCTCAGTTATACGATTTCGCGATTATTCAGACTACCAACAGCAGCAATGAAGAGGAAAAGTTGCTTACGTAAAACACTATTACCAAATATTTTAAACCAATTAAACTTATTTCATGATTACTAAATGCAAATCACCAAATAAACATTGTAACAATTATGTACATAAGTACCAACTATATCCAGATTAACATAATGTACAAACGTATGTAGAAGATGAGAAATATTATTAATGAAAATAATTGAAAAGTATGATGATTAAATAAATGATAATTTATTATTTAAAAAAATGATATTTGTTGATATTATGTATTTTTTAATAAAATATATATTATTTAATATATGAATATATGTGCATACATAAGCATCAATTTCTTTAAAAAAAACATTGACTTTTTTGATATTTATTATTTGTTGTGTTTTAAATAAACACATAATAATTTTTCATACATTTGATTATCCGGATGCTTATTGACAACAATTAGTCCGGTTTAATCGAGGTTTTTACTGTATATATATATATATATATATATATATATTATATATATATATATATATATATATATATATATATATATTACTCACCTACGTGTTTTCTTATTTTTACGACCAGATGATTACTTCGGGTGCTGATGTATCCATTGATAAATTGGACTGCTTTTGAGTTTGGTTTTGAAATTGAACATCTTCCTTTCCTTTATTTATATTATCTTCTATTGCTAACATTGAATCCATTCAATGGTTTTCGAAGTGCAGCCTGTGCTTTTTTTGTAAATAATACAGCAGTTCTGTGAAATTAAATAAAATA